TGTTACTTGATCGATTTTCTAAAATAAGTTTTCAGGACAGTGACAGTCAAATAAGGAAAGAAAACATGGAATGAAGTCCTAATTACATATTTTTTTGGACAGGGGGAAACTTTACAGATAAGTTACAAAGAAAAGGCAAATTTGTACAAGAAATTTAATGCATTCTGTACAGCGTCTTCACAGTTCTGTACCATGCTTACAAACTCTTCATAGTTTCCTTGGCCATCACCATCAGTATCTGCTTCCCTGATCATGTCATCAATCTCTTCGTCTGTTGACTTCTCCAAGGTTCATCATCACGTGGCGAAGCTCTGCTGCACTAATATAAGCATTGCCATCCTTATCAAATACACGGAATGCTTCTCTAATTTCTTCAGTGTCTTTCCTTTTTCTTGCTATCATTGTTAGAAATTCAGGGAAGTCAGTTGTACCATTTCCATCTGCATCTACTTCATTGGTCATGTCCTGTAACTCTGCTTCTGTGGGATTCTGCCCCAGAGACCTCACTACAGTTCCCAGCTCCTTTGTTGTTACAGTTCCATCACCGTCCTTGTTGCGTAGTGAAAAAGCTTCTTTGAATTCTGCAATCAGCTCTTCAATTGGTCAGCCATGCCAGCAGGTGGTTTCCGAGAGGCAAACCAATGTTTGATTTCTTTTCCTCATTCTCCTACCTTTCCTTCTACCTATTTTTTAAAAAAATTTTAACAACTGTTGCCCAGGCTAGGCTTAGACTTGCAGTGATCCTCCTTCCAAAACCTCCCAGGTGCCCGGATGGTAGGTGTGCATCACCACTCCTGTCTTAGGGTACTTTTTTTTTTATTATTATTTTTTTTTCGAAGATGATTTACTTGTGGCTTTTTCTTAAGCTTCCCCAACTATCTTTCTTTTTTAAAAAAAAACATTTATTTTTGTAATTTTATTTATTTGTGTGTGTGTGTGTGTGTGTGGCCAGCTCAGCCCACCAGGGGGCAGGGCTGGCTGGCATGTGATGTTGGGGGATTGAACCATGGTCCTTGTGCTTTGCCAAGCTTGTTCCAAGTAGGTGCTTTAGACCACTGAGCCATCTCACCAGCCCCTTGTCTTAGGGTACTTTTGAGGTGACTTTAACCCAAGCTGGCCTTGAACTCCTGCCTCAGCCCCCATAGTACTGGAATTTCAGGCATATACTAACATATGGGGGTACTATTTCTTAACTTTGAGGCAGGATCTCCCAGGGTGGGTTGGATTGGAGTTTGTGATGCTTTTGCCTCAGCTTTTTTTTTTTTTTTTTTTTTTTTTTTTTGCGGAACCGAGGATTGAACTCAGACCCTTGCACTTGCCAGGGAAGCGCTTATTCCATTGATCCATCCCCCCAGTCCCCGCCTCAGCTTTCTCGTACTGAGATTACAGGTGTGCTTCCTGCCTGATTGGGTCTCAGTATGGGTCTCAATATCTTACCAGTCCAAGAGCTGCACCTCCTTAGGCTTTTTTTTTTTTTTGGTGGAACTGGGGATTGAACTCAGGCCCTTGCGCTCACCAGAGAAGCACTTATTCCACTGTGCCATCTCCCCAGCCCCTCCTTAGGCTTTTCTATTTTTCTTCAGGCAAAATTGTGGCTGAGCGTCCTGGAACCAACTCCACAGGCCCTGCATCCATGGCTCCCCCAAGAGCCCCAGGACCTCTGAGCAAGCAGGGTTCTAGCAGTAGCCAGGTGAGCACCAGGGAGGACCAGGTGTGGAACACTGGGCCCATAGTGTGCGTGCCTCACTGAGGCCTCTGCTGTGTTCTGTTGCAGCCCATGGAGGTCCAGGAAGGCTATGGCTTTGGATCAGGTGAGGAGGTCTGACTAGGGCATTGTGGGCAAACCCGTGGTACGTGTTCTGCATCAGGTTACTCTTATCACCAAAAAGTCAAAAAGGATTCTCAGCGCCTCGCTGTCTGGCCCTGCTGACCCTCGCTGCGTTGCCCCTGGCCCTTGCGTTGGCCTGGTCCTCGGGTGTACTATGTCTGGCTCTTCCAGCATCGCTGCCATGAAGAAAGTGGTTCAACAGCTCCGGCTGGAGGCCAGGCTCAACTGCGTGAAGGTTTCCCAGGCAGCTGCAGACTTAAAACAGTTCTGCCTGCAGAATACTCAGCATGATCCTTTGCTGACTGGAGTATCCTCAAGTACAAATCCGTTCAGACCGCAGAAAGTTTGTTCGTTTTTGTAGTCAAATGAATTCTTAGGAGTTTCCCAGACCACTTTTAACCAACCAGTGACTATTCAGAAAAAGAAAATTGAAGTCTGTACAACTTCCCCTTTCTTAACATGTGCCATAACATACAAACTTCTACTTTGTTCTTAACATTTATCTCTGGATTTTCATGAATTTCTATTTCATGAAGGTATTTTATATATGCTGGTGCCAACATATAATAAAATATTTAGTATTAAAAAAAAAAAGAATTCGTAGTTACTGGCCCAGTGTGTAGCAGGGCTCTAGTGAGTGCCTGGGTCTGCCCTCACTCTGCCGTCCCCTTTTCTGTTTTCTGAGCAGATGACCCCTACTCCAGTGCAGAGCCTCATGTGTCTGGCGTAAAGCGGTACGTGTGTGTGTGGTGGTCCCTTGGGTGGTGTACAGGTCATGTGTAGGGGTGGAAGTACTCATGCAAGTGCTTCTACAGGTCCCGCTCTGGTGAGGGCGAGGTGAGCGGTCTCATGCGCAAAGTGCCACGTGTGAGCCTAGAACGCTTGGACCTGGACCTTACAGCTGACAGCCAGCCGCCTGTCTTCAAGGTCTTTCCGGGCAGCACCACTGAGGACTACAATCTCATTGTTATTGAGCGTGGTGCTGCTGCTGCAGCAGCTGCTGGTCAGCCTGGGACTGCGCCTCCTGGTGTACCTGGTGCCCCACCTCTCCCTGGCATGGCCATTGTTAAGGTTAGCTTGTCCCAAGGGCCCGTGTTGAGAAGGTGGCATCTGTTAGCTGTGGACTCCCTTTAACAGTCTTGTCATCATTTAGGAGGAGGAGACAGAGGCTGCCATTGGAGCCCCTCCTGCTGCGACTGAGGGCCCAGAGACCAAGCCTGTGCTGATGGCTCTTTCTGAGGGCCCTGGTAATGAAGGCCCCCGCCTGGCCTCACCCAGTGGCAGTACTAGCTCAGGCCTGGAGGTGGTAGCCCCTGAGGTTCCCTCAGCCCCAGCTGGTGGCCCAGGCAATCTGGATGACAGTGCCACCATCTGCCGTGTCTGCCAGAAGCCAGGTGACCTGGTCATGTGCAACCAGTGTGAGTTTTGCTTCCATCTGGACTGCCACCTGCCTGCCCTGCAAGATGTACCAGGGTGCGTGTGAGGGTTGGTGTAGTCTCAGCATTGAATGTGTGGCTGGGTGGGTTCTTGTGCATTTGTTCCTTTTTTAACTCCAGGGAGGAATGGAGCTGCTCACTCTGCCACATACTCCCTGACCTGAAAGAGGAGGACGGCAACCTGAGCATGGATGGTGCTGACAGTGCTGATGTGGTAGCTAAGCTCTCCCCGGCCAACCAGCGGGTGAGTGTCCAGGTATTCAAATGTGGGTGGCCCAGTGGTTTTACCCTTGTGCATTGTGCAGTTTTGATCTGTCCTGTCCTGTTTAGAAATGTGAGCGCGTCCTGCTGGCTCTATTCTGTCATGAGCCCTGCCGTCCCCTGCACCAGTTGGCCACAGATTCCACCTTCTCCATGGTTAGTGCATTGTAGAACAGGAAAGGGAGGTGGTGTGGGAAAGGAAGGAGGTGTGGAATGTTGGGTCCCACGTTTAAGGTGTACATTTTTGCCTGCAGGAACAGCCTGGTGGTACCTTGGACCTGACCCTGATACGTGCTCGCCTGCAGGAAAAGCTGTCACCCCCTTATAGTTCCCCCCAGGAGTTTGCCCAGGACGTGGGTCGCATGTTTAAGCAGTTTAATAAGCTGACGGAGGTGAGCATGGAATGAGGAAAGTGCGTGGCCCATAGGACAGGGCAAATGGGATATGGAAGTTAGGACCTACCCATCCATTGTATCTTTGCTTGGACTAGGACAAGGCGGATGTGCAGTCCATCATCGGTCTGCAGCGCTTCTTCGAGACGCGCATGAATGAGGCCTTCGGTGACACCAAGTTCTCTGCTGTGCTGGTGGAACCCCCGCCATTGAGCTTGCCAAGTGCTGGTCTAAGTTCCCAGGAGCTATCTGGTGGCTCTGGTGATGGTCCCTGAAGCTGGGTCCGGTATGGGCAGCGTGGCCCTGCTCTGTGTCCTATCACCCCCATCCTACTACTACTTTGTGGCCTGACCCCCACTCCCTGGTGGTTCCATCCCCCAGTCCCTCACAAAATGGTTTTTACTTCTGTGGATTTAATAAAAACTTCACTGGCTCCTCAGGCCTTGGCTGGTTAGGGGCTGTGGTACAGGAGCAGGTCTTTTACCTGCTCCTGTCAGGCATGGGTAACATAAGGGATCTTTCTTGGACCTCTTTGAACTTGTCTGGGTACCAAGAGGGTGGGGAAAAACCTCTTGGGCCTCGTATGGGTGTGTATGTTGATGGTGTGTATCCTGGAAGCTAGCAGAGGACCCTGGTGGGTAGGCCTGAAAACTACTTCATCGCATACCTTACTTGGTTAACCACGTTCTTTAGGACTTTGCCCTTGGGGGTTTTCATCAGGCAGGTGTGCAGCTCTGAAGGTTTCCTTCTATTTATCCTTGTGTGCTACTGAGATGCCCAAGTTGGGCCTGGCTATTGACTCCCATTGGTCTAGGACCTTTGTCCTGAGCTAACTCACTAGCCCTTTATTTTTTGAGATAGTCTTGCTGAGTTAGGCTGGGCTTGAACTTTCTTCTCCAAAACTGAAGGATTCAGGGCTATACTTGGGATGCTAGCACTGTCTTGAAGGGCTCCACCACTTTTTCAGTAGACACAGGTACTAGGCAGAAGACCGCAAGTGGGCATGGCCTGTCTGCCTCTGCCCCAATCCTAACCTAGGAACACAGCCTGCCCCACGGATGCCAGGCACACAGGCTTGAGAACTAGCATTTAGTTTCATTTATTACAGATGGGCATGGTAAAGACACTCAGCATCTCTTCGGCCACTTGCCCAGCAGTAGGGGTGATTAGTCTCTCCGCAGGTTCTTGAGTCGCTCCTCAAGGTCTGCATCTGCATCAGCTAGGGTTGAGGCTGCAGCCTCTGCCTTCTTCCCGCCAGTAGCCACACTGAGCGAGCCTCCCGTGGAGGGGAGATCTGTGAGGAGAGGATGCAGGAGGTTAGGGGGTCTAGGCTTGTGTGTACAACTCTAGGCTTGTGTGTGGAAAGTAAGTGGATCTGTGGCACTCACTTGATAGCTCATCTGTCAGGCTCAGTCCCAGCTCATCTAGGACCTGGGACACTACAGCATCACTAAAGGAGAGAGAGAACATGCTCAGGGCTCCATGTGGGTGAGAGTAAAGCGTCCCCACCTTCTCACCCAGTTTCTTCACACCTCTCTTCCTCATCTTCCTCATCGCCCATGGCATCGTCAATGGCATCATTCATCATCTCCTCCTTCATGTCCATGATCTCTGCCTGCCGCTCAAACTCCATCATGATCTTCTGGATCTGGGGCAGTTTCAGCTGGAAGTGGGGGAGGGTGAGTCTGGGTGCTGAGGGTCGGTCAGCGGGGGTGTGGAGGGGATGGGGAGACATACCTGTCTGTTCATGGTACCCATGGCCTTGGTGACGCCCTTCATGGCTTGTGCCATGGAGTTGTTGGACTTCAGCGTCTGTATCTTCAAGGACACAGCCTGGATGTTGGCCCGCATCAATACAAACTTGCGCACATAGCGCCGGGTACGCACGAGGTCTTTTGCCATGATGCGCACAGCATCCTGTAGAGGGAAGAATGAAGGTATGTCTTTTTTTTTTTTGCGGAACCGGGGATTGAACTCAAGCCCTTGTGCTTGCCAGGCAAGTGCTTATTCTACTGAGCCATCTCCCTGGCCCCTAAGGGTATAATCTTGAGAGTGAGGCTTCATTCAAAGTTACTACCAATAGTCACTGGTGGTTCTGATTTCACTTGCTGACCAACCTACACGATCCCTAAGTACTGGAAGGTAGGCTAAGGCTCAGTTATTTTTTGTTTTGTCTCCTTCCGTATCCAGTGTCACTTGGAGTTTTAACATGTCATTTCTATCCCCAGCCTGGACAGCGAATCTGCTTTGGCTGGGACTGTAGCTCAGAGGCAGAGTAGTTGTCCAGCATGCATAATGCTCTGATTCTTAGCACTTGTGGATTATGAGTTTGGGTAGTCTGGGCTAAGGCCATCTCAGATGGAAAACAAAATAAACACGAAAACTTTACTACTCTTGTTCTGGCTCTCTTCTCACTGGCCTTTTGGTCAAAGTCTCTTTTAAAAATGTACTTCAAGGGCTGGCGAGATGGCTCAATGGAATTAAGTGCTTCCCTGGCAAGCACAAGGGCCTGAGTTCAATCACTGGTTCTGGAAAAAAAAAAAAAAAAAAAGGAACCAAACCCAAGGCTTTTATGTTGAATTATATCCCCAGGCATTTATTTAGTTTTTATTTTTTGCAGAACCAGGGATTGAACTCAGGACCCTGAACTTGCCAGGCAAGCGCTTATTGTACTGAGCTATTTCCCCGGCCCCTAAAGTTTTTATTTTCTTATTTTTGCTAGGTATGACACATGCCTGTGGTAATTCCAGGATCCTGGAAGGTAGACATAGGAGATGAGCTGGCCTGGGAGGCCAGACTAGGTATGGTGTCCCACACCTGTAATCCCAGCACTCGGGAGGCTGAGCCAGGAGGATCACAAGTCTGAACTATGTGACATTGTATCAAACAATTAAAAAGGCTGGGATCCTCTTGCCTCACTCCCAGAGTGCTGAGATTACAGGTATGAGAGGCCATACACAACCTCAAAGCTTATTTTTAGTTGTTTTTGTTTGTTTTTTTGCAGAACTGGAGATTGAACTCAGGCATTTGTGTTTGCCAGGCAGGCACTTATTCTACTGAGCTATCTCCCCAGCTTCAAAGCTTATTTTTGTTACCCTTCATCTCTGCCTACTGTTTATACAAGTCTTAGTCTGGTGTCCACCTCTCAGTTGCGTTTGCTGAGGCTAACATCTGCCTGGGAGTGGTGGTGCAGGCATGTAATCTAGCAGAGGTACAAAGTGAGGTCAGAGACAGCCTGAACAGCATAGGGAGACCCTGTGGTCAAAACAAAACAAAACCTAATGCTTGCTAATGCGCTGGCCAAAGTCTTCAGAAGTTCAATCTCAACACTCAAGTCTTGGCTGATAGGACTGCCAAGAAGGTGGTCTCACCAGACTGCTAAATTAGGGGAACCCTGCTCATCTTTCACCTAGCATTCGTCGAAGGGCTTGTTTTTTGTGTCCCGTTTTTTTTTTTTTTTTTTTTTTGTTTTTATTTATTTATTTTGGTGTCCTATTTTGTTCACTATCATCGTAGTGTATGCCATCTTGCCTCTGACCACGGATGCTTACCATCTGTCCTTGCTTGGCCATCTTTTTGATGTCTGCAATGATTTTCTTCTCCTGAGTCTCCAGCTTCTGTCGTTCCCGGTCTAGCTCACGCATGGCACGGTTTAGAGCCCGCTGGTTCTGGCGCAGCAGCTCCTCTGGCGTCTTCCGGCGCCCAAACAACAGGTCCATGGTAGCTAAGAATCCAATGGCAGGCCTGGGAGAGTAAGGCTGAGCTGTAGGGGTGGGGCCCAGAAGGAGGCAGGAGGCAAAACAGGTTCATGCAGGGGTGGGTGGGGATAGGAGGTATGCAAGACCGGAAGGGAGCAGCCGTGGGGATACAAGGGGCCTTAGCCGGAGCTAAAAGTCATCCACTACGCTCGCCCAAGCCTTCCTCCATCCCCTTGCCCAAGGATGTCAGGGCCTGAAGTTCAGCTTTACTTTCTAGAGCCAGAGGTGTGGCTTTGGCGTCTTGGAGGGGTTGGGGTTGGGGGAGGACCTGGGAGCACTACTGCATTTGGGAACCTGAGCACGTCGGACAAGGCAGCTGTGGCAGAATGGGCGTGGGGCTCTGGGCAGGGCAGTGGCATGCACAACCGGGGACCCTGGCTTGAGAGGCTCTATTAGGTGGGGGCACTCAACGTGCCGAAACACAGCGGCTCAGGGAACCCCAAAAGAGGATCGGGTCCGACAGGACTCCAATGCACCCGATTCCTTGGCCCAAACTCTGGGACACTGGGCTGCCCAGACCTGCGGCCCAGCGGGAGCCACTCACCGGAGCTGGCACGGAGGCTCGCTTCCGCTTCCGGGTCACGCTCCCCCCCGCTTGGATCTCCGGCGTACCCACTAACCGGGCGCCCCTCGCTCCTGTTGCCTCCGCTACCGCCGCCGTTTCCGGATCAAACGACCTGACGCTTCACACCCCGCCCATACGCAGACTGCTGGGAAGCAGCGTGAGCGCGCGCATGCGCAGGGCTGACCTGCTTCCAAGCGCATGCGCAATCCCGAGATCGCGCCACACAAGCCCCACCCCCGCGGGCCAGGGTTGCGGCCGTGCGACAGCAGTCCTCGTTGGTCCACCCTGCAGGTCCCACCTCCCACCGCATTAGGACACGATTCATCCGCAGAATCTTTGACTTCTGTGCAAAGCCTTGGAGAGCATTAGGCAGGAATCTCCCCCACGGGCTTGCACATTGCAGAAGGCAGTGCTAGACGCAGGAGTGGGGTGGTGCACTTTTCCCTCTACAGGCAGGGGGTGATGGGAGTCCTCCATCCTGCCCAGATCAGCGGCCCCAAATAACACCCTTACGCGCACGCACACCTTACCTGGCCCTCCCGCCCCACGGAAGGACGAGGCAGAGGCCATGCAGTAACATTCCCCTTTAATAGACTGCTATGACCTCCGGTGGTGGAAAGGGGGGGGGGTTGCCTGGGCCCAGCTACCCAGGCCCCTGGCCTTCACACCCCACAGCCCAGAGTCGGGGCTAGAAAAGTACCCAGTGTGGGGGGGGTGCTAGACAAGCCAATTCATTTCCCATCACTGAGCTGGTCAGGGGAGGAAGTGCCAACCGGATTCATGTGGTGGTTAAAAAAAAAATACCTAGGGGCAGGTGGCAAGGAGGGGAGGCAAGGCCAAGGCAGGTATTCCTCCACTGGCCATTTCCCACCCACCTCCCGTGTCCCCCAATAAATATCTGCAGGGGATGCCTGGGCTGGTGGCCCTGGCGGGGTGTGTATGCGCCGACCCTATTTCAGGCAGCGCTCGAAATAGGTGGAGCCGATGTAGCCACCTCTCATGGAGCGCTGCACATTTTGCTCGAACAGCCGCCGGTTGTTTTGCAGGACCTCGGCAGCCTCCTTGTTCAGTGGGTCCTCGGGGTTGGGCTCCTGTAGCCAGTACAAGTAGGGTCAATGGGCCCAAGGGCAGAAGGCAAACCTTCCCTGGTCCCAAATGCCCAACCCTACTCACCAAGAAGAGATACTGCAGGCCATAAATTATGGAGTTTATCGTAAGGACTGGCTTCCAGTCCTCTCTGTGGATAGAGAGCATCAGGGTGAGGGGTAGTGAGTAGGAAGGTGACTGCCACAGGCCCTGCTGCTTGGTACTGGACGGGGCAAGTTCATAGAATGCAGTGAAGATGCGAGAAGCCAGGGAAAGGCATGGAGCAGGACAGGCCATGGGGGAAAGCTACTTAGGAAGATGACTTACAGTGGGAGGGAAGGGACAGAGTGATACAGTGCCCAAGATGAGGAAGGGGCCTGGCAAGCGGGGCTGGGGAGGGCAGTGGAGGGCCAGTGCTCTCACCTGAGGATGTTGAGGCAGACGTTGCCCTCGAGGTCAATGTTAGGGTGATAAACCATCGTCTCACACTTCACCTTGGGGGGGTCATGTGGGTAACCCTGGCCTACCTGGCTCCAAGAAAAGAGAAGTGGGGAGGTGTCTGGCAGGGTTTCAGCTGCTGCCTTCTCAGTCAACAGTCACCTCTGCCCATTTGGGACTCACCTTAAAACTGAACACAAACTTTCCACTCTTGTAAAAGCCCTGGAAGAAGAGGAAAGAAAGTGGCATTAGGACCGTATTTTACAGGGCCTGTAGGTTTTCCCTTCTTCCAGTGGAGCCACCCTAGTCTGTTCCTGGGAGCCTAGCTATATATACTTTTACCTCATCAGGAGAGATAACCAGCTTGAAGTTGAGGAGGTCGTCTGGATCTGAGAAGCTGATGTCACACGTTTTGGGCAGGTTTAGTTCGTTTATATCTGAGTTGGATAAATAGAGGAAGGGAACAGGGAGGGGGAAAAAAGGCCAGGTGAGAGAAAGGGAGTTCTCAGTAGGTGTCAGCGGAGTCATATGGCCTCCTGGGTCTCTGGTGCCTGGGTTCTAGTCTTCAGGTGGGCTCATTTAAATATGCACCCCTAACCTGTGTCTTCCATTGTGGCTGTAGGTCCCATCTCTGGGACAAGGCGAACCCTGACTCCCCTAAGCCCAGAGCTCTCAAGTTTCCCCAAACTGGCTCTGAAATGTCCCAACTCACCAGTGACCAGCGCTCCAAATTTCTGGCCTCCAACAGCTTCTGAGCACTACACACCCCAGGCTCCCCAGCTATGACTCTACTCTTCATCATGTATTGTTAACCCAATCCCCTGATTACCCCACCCCCCTCCGCACAGACCACCCACCTCAGATCATTCCTGGTTTCACTTCTCCGGGTGTCATTCCAAACTCAGCTTCCTACCTAATTTTACAGTCTTTAAGTCCCCGGCCCCCAGCCCACTCTCCGATCCTGAAATTCGAAGCATGATGGCCTAAATTCTCTCCTAGTTTTCAGCACCCACATCCCTCCCTCGTCCACCTGTCAGTCCCAGACCCCCGTCTGACCCCAGAATAATACGCTAAATCATCCCTCGTGTCTCCAGTTCCTGGCCCCTGCCACCCTTTCTCTACTCGGTCTCACACCAAACTCAAGCTCGAGCCTGAACCCCGGACTCTCAGCACCCCCAACACTCAGATTCCGGTTAGCCAATGCCGGACGCCCGGCCTCCCCAACAGCCCTCCCCTCCCCCGGCCCTAGCGACCACCGTGCGCCCTCCTCCCGCGCCGCAGCTACCGGCCCGGACCCCGCCACCCCACCCCAGCCTCAGCCCGATGCCCTACCCTTCTGGATCCGCAGCTGCGCTGCCGACGCCTTCTTGCTGCTGCCCTTGGTGCCGCCAGCCGACTCCTCCTCCTTCTTCTGCTGCTTCAGCGAGAACAGCTTGATCATCCTGCCGCCGCCGCCGCTGCTGTCGCCGCCGCCGCGGGGCCCAGGACCTTAGCTACCGGCCCCCCGCCGCCTCCCGCGTCGTTCTGCTCCTAGGACCCGCTGCTGCGGCCTTCGCCGCTGCCGCCGCCCGCCGGGCCTGCCGCGCTGCCCCGCGCGGCCCGCCTCGGCTCCCGTAGTCCGGCTTCGGCCTGGCCCGGCGCCTCGGAGTCCCTCGGCAGCACTCGGGCGGACTCGGCTATTGTCGGGCCCGCCTGGCCCCACCCCAAGACCCCGGCCTCGCCTTCCTTCCCTTTCCCGCTCAGGTCTTAAGAGGCCCAGCTGCAGGCGGAGGCGTGGGGCTTGCCGGGTCTCGCCGCTTTACTGGTCCCTCGGAGAGGGGGCTGCGGCTCAGGGTGGAAGAAGGAAGGCGGCAGCCGCAGTGGCTGCAGCACACGGGAGGAGGCTGGGCTTCCGTGGTTCGGCGCGGAGGTCGGCAACGGCCTCGGGCGACTAGGCACTTCGGGTATTTCCGTCTCCTGCCCGCTTCGGGTCTTCCTGCCCGGCCTGTCCTTGCGCCTGCGCAGTCCCTTGTTGCACAGCAACGGGTTTGGGGTTCCGGCTTCTTCGTCAGAGCTAAGTGTTTCCATTCGCCGAGATGACGTTTCTGCTGTCCAGCAGTCGTTTCCGGGAACGCTAGCCAGCCGGGCAGGAAGCGGTTCTCGCTGCCATCTTTGAGTGGGGCAAATGATTGCGGCTTGCTTTCAGCCAATCCATCTACTGTTGGCGCTGCAACGCGGCACAGGTGGGTCACATAACATTGTTGCACTCAGGAGTCACAAAGACAGAGGCTAGGAGAGGCCAGGGGCATTACCTAGAGGGTGCAAGTCGAGCACCTCCAGTGCCCCCTCACAAACTTAGACCCCTTTTCCTGGAAATTGCAACTGAGGTAAGCAACCGTTGTTCGAGGGGCCAAGGAAGGAGGATCACTGAGACCAAGAGTTTGAGGAGACACAATGAAACTTCATTCTTCAAACAAGCAGATCTGAGGCAACCCGCTCATGTCCCTTTTCTGCCCCTTTCTTGGACAGGAGCTTTCTTTCCCCAAATAAATATATTCTGCTCTTAAGTAAATAAAACGAGCAGACCTTGGGCCAGTGAAATAGCTCAGCGGTCTAAAGCCCCTGCTTAGGCAAGCTTAGGCAAAGCACCCAGGGCAGGATGAGCGGGCCAAAAAATCAAACAAACCAAGCCGACCTATACCCGAGATAGGCACAGCGAGGTTTACAGCCCAGAGTGGACACGGGATGGACCCAGAGTGAGGGCCAAGATGCCAGGAGAAGCACATGCCCTTGGCAGCGCTCTGCACCGTGATACACAGCTCTGTGAAAAAGGGAGCCGTTAGGCAGATGTTAGCAGAGTGCCTGTGGCCCTCTGGGTAGATTTGGGCTCGACAGTCTTCAGCAAGACTCTTCTGGATAGGATACACAGCACTGTCACCAAATAAACTGGCATTCAGGATTAGGACACCCCTCGCACAAGCACAGAGGCCCTTTTTGTCCCCTGGTTATCCCAGCCAAACGTCCTAGCATCCTTTCCTAAGCTCAGGAGAGCTGTGTACTGGAGAGGCTGGGCGAGGATGCTGGGTTTGGGACCACATGATTTCTACTGTTGGTCCTAGCCTCAGCTATCTGCTCTGTGCTGTTTTTTTTTTTTTCTTTCTTTTGGCAAGATCTTGCTAGGTAGGTCAGGGTGACCTTGGACTCACTTTGTAGCCTAGGCTGACCTGTAACAGCAGCCCTCCTGCATCAACCTCACCAGTGCTGAGATTGCAGGTGTATGCCACTGCACTCAGTTTGTGCTGATTATTTTCTCTTTTTGCGGTACCAGGAATTAAACTCAGGACCTTGCGCTTGCCAGGCAGGCACTTATTCTACTGAGCTATCTCCACAGCTGTGCTGATTATTTTCAGACAGGCTATTTCCACAGAACACTTGATGACCACACTGTGGTTTCAGTCCAATCTTTAGTGGTTCCTGTTGGCCAGCCTGGCCTGTGTGTGTACCCTCCAGTTCATTGTTGAGGTCCACCTACTAGTGCCCATCTAGGAGTGGGATATTGGTCCCCCAGTAAGGGATGCTGGATTACCCAGAGCTGGGCCTGTGTGGTGTCCAGCCTGGATGGCACCATCGATTAGGAAGAATGGGGTCATGGGGTCCAGACTGGGGAGGAGGGGATTGCCAACCTGGAACCAGAAACAGTTGTGTGTATAAGAGCTAATACAGGGAAGCCTGAGTTTTGGAGACGAGGGACAGGAGAAGGCAGGGAAGGGAATCTGAGGGGAGGTGCTGTGAAGATAGGTGGCTAGCATCAGGATGCTGAGGAATGACGTAGATAGAGTCAGAGGGACTGGGTTTGTGTGAGAATAACTTCGTGAACACAGCCTTGAGAGGAGCACTGTGGGGCTTAAGAGCCAAGATTAGGGCACCAAGTAATGGCCAGGCACATTGTTATCACTGTTCCACTGACTAGGGCCTGTGGCCTTCTCCTAGGTTCTTTTATTGGGGGGGAGGTGAGAGCAATATGGGGATTGAATCAAGGACTGTTCTGTTACTTTCTATACCTCCAGTCCTTTTTGTTTTTTATTTTTATTTTTTATTTATTATTTTTTTTGTTTTTTATTTTTATTTTTGGCAGAACCGGGGATTGAACTCAGACCCTTGCCAGGCAAGTGCTTATTCTACTGAGCCATCTCCCTGGCCCCCCTTTTTGTTTTTTTAAATTTTAAATTTATTTATTGCAGTACTTAGGACTGAAATATCCCCAGCCCTTTATTTTTTTATTTTTTAATTTTTATTTATTTATTTTTAGCAGAGCTGGGGATTGAACTCAGACCCTTGCGCTTGCCAGGGAAGCACTTATTCCACTGAGCCATCGCCCCAGCCCTCCTTTATTTTTTAAGGCAATTTTTTTTTTTAAATTTTGAGTTTTTAAAGGCCGAGTCTCACTATGTAGTCCAGGCTGGCCTCAAACTTGAGGCAATCCTCCTACCTCAGCTTCCTGAGTGGTGCGATTACAGGAGTATAAATGGGCAGGGTTGTGCCGAGCCATTTGAGACAGGTTCTTGATAAATTCCGCAGGTGGACTTGAACTTGGGATCCACCTCCTTTAGTGTCCCATGTGCTGGAAGCACAAACATGCACCACCATGCCTGTGTTATTTCTTAAACTTCAAGACTCTTGCTGAGTTTTTCAGCAAGTTTTCAAATCTTATGTGCAACCATACTGCCTCAGCCTCCTGAGTAGGAATTACATGTGTGCTACCGTGCCCAGCTCCTAGATTCCTCTTATAGCAGTGACTGTGGGGCTGAGTGGCTGTTCTGTCCAGGCTGTCAGTACTATTGATTGGCTGCTGGGCAGGCCATCACTACCCTCTGTGATTCTGCAAATTCTGGCCTAGCATCTTTGGTGATGGGAGGGAGTGGAGGATATGACTATAGGTACCAGAGACCCACTGTGTCACATAGGAGTGGCTCCTGGTTCAGGTTGACTTACATGCATTCCCTGAGGTCAGGGGCCTGACTTGTGATGTGGTGGGAGTTAACTTACAGTGATTGGCAATTGCAGCTCCCTTTGGAAGAAGCATGGACACACAGGCCTCATTTTGCTGATCTTGATACTGCACAGGCCAGTCAGGCTGACACCTGCACAGAATAGGACCTTGATCGAGGTCTAGAGATTAAACTGGACCTATTGCATGGGATCATTTGACTCCTGCTACTGGTACCTATTAGGAGGGGCAAGCAGATTGTCTGTCAGCGGTCTGTCCAGTAGAGGGAAGAGGGGCATGGTTAGGACACAAGAGGCAATGGGACAGTGTCCTTGGGATGCCAGGTCTTAATCTGTGAGATATTGGTGCCAATCTGTGTGTATGCATGTAAGCTTCTGTCATCTCACTGCCTGTGACAACTTGCTGAATGCCTGTAGTTGAAGACTCATCAGGATGAGGAACCTGTGGGTAATGAAAATGATCACCAGAAGGTGGAGAAACTGGCCATTGGCTTATAGCCTGTGTTCCCCACATTAGCTGGGATCCCATGTGCAGGGTCCTCTATCCTCAGTACTGCTGATTGTAAACATACAGGAACAGAAAATTTCCAAGTGTCTGAATTTCCAGGTAAAACTTTCCAGCCTTTAAACCCAGAAAATGGCTTCCTGGGAGTCTTAAAAACACATCCTCAGTCAGGATCTCTATTTCCAGCTGCCAGTTTAGTAGTGCTGTTGCATCTGATGGTTGTTGGCTGGCTGGGTTAGGGACTGAGCTAATTCAGGTCCTCTTGGGGGTGAACTCCAAGGATAGTTGTGATGGGAATGGGTATACAGTTTCAAGGCATCACAGTCCAGGCAAGGGGCCACCTAGAAACTTGGGAGCTGGGAGTGGTCCTAGTGGACCCAAGTGGATAGACCCTGGATGCATACCTAAGAAGACCCACAGGGCCACTGGTAGGGAGAAAGTTTTTAGCTGTGACTGCTGTGAGAGTGTGGTGTTAGTCTATAGTCATAGGGCTGGGGAGATGGCTCAGTGGAATAAGTGCTTCCCTGGCAAGTGCAAGGGCCTGAGTTCAATCCCCGTTCTGGGGGGAAAAATACAGCCATACTACCCTGAACACATCCAATCTTGTCTGAGAGTATTGTTAGTAGGATGAAGGGGATGGGACAGCTCAGGTGGGAAAGGCAGTATCACAGGAACTACCAGCACTGGCTTTGTTCAAGGTGGTGGACTTGATGAGCTTGGGAGGTCAAGAATCCTGGAGACTGGCCTTGGTGGTGAGGCAGTACAAGGGCTGGATTACCAGTTAAGCTCCTATCTTTGGGGCTGGTGAGAAAGCTCAGCAGACTAAGTGCCTGCTTAGGCAAGCACAGGGACCTAGGTTTCCCGGCATCACATGACACACTGTCCCCCACTCCCCACTCCCAGGGCATACTGAGCCGGCCACCAAGCCTGGGTGTGGTGGCGTACACCTGTAGTCTCAACACTGAGGAGGCTGAAAGCAGGAAGATCACTAGGAGTCCGAGCTGCATAGTGAGACCCTATACCAAATATATTAAAACAAAAAAACCTCCTGTCTCTGGGGTCCAGACTTGTCTACCTGGGCCTGTGCTGGGCAGGGACTCTACAAACAGGTCCCCCTCACCTGAATCTGTGAGGGACTGGTGCCACTGGGGCTAGGAGGAGAGGAAAGGCTAGTTCCATCCAGTATGGCAGCAGCATCATGCAGTCATGATCCTGAGAGCAGCACATTTGTTACATATATACACAATTCTCAACCAGGTTATTGGAGTCTCAGAGATTCCCATGACTGCCCCATTGGGGGCAACCTAGGGCCAGTCAAGCGGTAACAAAGCCCACAGGCCTTCGTGCTAAGACTTCAGAACCAACTCTGTAGCAGCGGCTTCTCCTTCTATGGGATTCCTCCTAAATTTACCTCCTGGACAGTTTGACTACCCTTTTCAATTCTGTACCAGCCAACTGCTGCCTCTATGCTAGAACCTGGTTGGTACAGAGAACATTTCTCCTCTGGGGCTTGTTTGTGCTATGTGCTCCAGCGACACTGGCTGCCCCACAGAAGGGCAAGACTCAAAGGATGCACACTGTACAGGTGACACCAGTGGTCTCTGTCCCCCGTTTATTGAGCACTTTCACGGCCTGGCCCACGGCATGCGGCTACTCTGTGCTGTGCACACGCTGGTGCTGGAGGAGCTTGGTGCTCTGGTGGAAGCGGCGGCCACAGTCCTGGCAGGTGAAGGGCCGCTCCCGTCGGTGTGTTCGCAGGTGTTGCGTGAGTGTGGGCCGCTGGCGGAAGGCCTTGCCGCACTCGGGGCAGGCGTAAGGCCGCTCACCTGTGTGGATTCGCCTGTGCTGTGCTAGGTTGGCGCGCTGACGGAAGCGCTGGCCACAGTCGGCGCAGGAGAAGGGCCTCTCACCCGTGTGCACGCGCCGATGCTCGGTGAGCCGCGACACCTGTGCAAAGCCCAGGCCACAGTCAGCACAGCGGTGCGGCTTCTCGCCCGTGTGCGCGCGCTGGTGGCGGGTGAGCTTGAGCCGCTGGCTGAACCGCTGGCCACACTCGGGACAGGCGAAGGGCCGCTCGCCAGTGTGCATGCGCAAGTGCTGCGTGAGTGTGGGCCGCTGGCGGAAAGCCTTGCCACATTCAGCGCAGGCAAAAGGCCGTTCGCCCGTGTGAATGCGCCGGTGCTGTGTGAGGTTGGAGCGCTGACGGAAGCTCTGCCCACAGTCAGTGCAGGCAAAGGGGCGCTCGCCGCTGTGCACGCGCCGGTGTTGCAGTAGCACGGCGCGGCGACCAAAGCGCTCGCCACACTCTGCACAGCCAAAGCACTTGTCGCTGGTGTGCACCGCCTGATGTTCCAGTAGCACTGCCCGGCGTGGGAAGCTCTCACGGCATTCACTGCAGGGGAAGGGGCCTGGGGGCTCGGGTGTGCCTGCAGCAGTGGGCGGTGCGGGGTGCACATCTGGGGGATCGCCGTGCACACGTTGGTGCTGCAGCAGGTTGGCGCGCTGGCGGAAGCGCTGGCCACAGTCTGCGCAGTGGAAAGGCTGCTCGCCAGTGTGCACGCGCCGGTGTTCCTCCAGCCGCGTGCGGCGCGCGAAGCTCTGGCCGCAGTCGCTGCACACAAAGGGCCGCTCCTCCGAGTGCGTGAGCTGGTGGCGCAGCAGGTGTGAGCTGCGGCTGAAGCTGCGGCTGCACTCGCTGCACACGAAGGGGCGTTCACCTGTGTGGATCTTCCGGTGCCGCAGCAGGTTGCTGCGCTGGCTGAATACCTTGCCACATATGTCGCAGTGACCGCCTCGGCCTGTCCCGGTTCTCAGGCTCGGCCGGCCCCGGCCCCGCACTGGACGCCAGCGATCAGCAGCCTGGCGGGGGTCTTCATCCGCGCCAGGGTCGCTATTGTGGGAGGGCTGATCCAGGTCCCAGGGGACTTGGACATGTGGGCTCCGCGCTGCTAGCCCCGCGGAGTCACTGTCTGTCTGGATTGAAAAGCCTGCACAGAAGGATCCCCTCCGGAGAGAGGGCCCTCTGCTGAGACCCGCAGCCTCTGTTAGTGCAGGCTTCCCTGAGGGGATGGTGGGACAGAGCCCAGGATGAGGAAGAAAGATGGGGTGTGTGTGAAAATTTACCTTGTCTGCTTAAGCCAAGGATGGGGTGGGTGCCAGGACAAAAGTGGGCAGATGGCAAGTCTAGCAGAAAGAGATGGGGCATGAAAGCTAGGCTCCTGGGCTTCACCTGGGGCACACCCGAGCAGACTGCGCAGGGACTCTGGGAAGCTGAGTCTGCCCACAGGACCCTGGACCTGCCTGTGACTAACACAGAGGACTGCTCTGCAGGAGGAATGTGGGCCAGCCACACCCACCATGCACATTCTTGTCAGAGACTGGATCCGGGTGTGAAGCCAGGGTGGGAGAAAGGAAGCCTGGAGGATTATACTAGGAGGACAGAGTAAAATGAAAACAAGTTTAACAAAAAAGGACTGAGAGAGTGAGGGCTAAAGTAGATCAAAGAAAATCCATTAGCCATCACAGAAAAGTTAAACAAATTTCATCAGGAGCCTTGAGATAGCTCACAGACTACAGCGCTTGTTTAGGCAAGCTTAGAGACCACGTTCCATCCCTGGCACCACATGCGGTGCCAGCCCCACCCCCAGGGAGGGCTGAACTGACCAGAGTCCAGCATAGTGGCACAGGCCTATAATCCCAGTGCTGGGGAGCAGGAGGATCACTATGAGTCTGAGCTTTGTAGTGAGACTCTGTAACAACCAAATACACTTAAAAAAAAATCTAAAAAAAAATTTTTTTTTCATAAAAAAAAAAATCAACAAAAATCACCTCAGGGTCAAAGACAAGTTAGGAAACTTCCCACAGGTAAAGAGCTAATTAACTCTCTAAGAGTCTCAATAAATTAAGAGAGACCAATAACCTGACGGACATTTGGCCAAACCATGTCAAAAGACAGATGTAACTGTTTAAACGCATAAAATATGTTCAGGCTGGGGCCAGGGAGATGGCTCAGTAGAATAAGCGCTTCCCTGGCAAGCACAAGGGTGTGAGTTCAATTGCCAGTTCTGCTAAAAAAAAAAAAAAAAAAATCCAAAACAAAAACAAACAAAATACACTCAGGCAGTCATCCCTCCTTCTTCATTAGCTACTTTTTTTTCTTCTTCTTCTTCTCCTTCTTCTCCTTCTCCTTCTTCTTCTCTTTTTTTTTTTTGGTGGTACCGGGGATCAAACTCAGGACTTTGTGCTTGTTAGGCAGGTACTTGTGCCACTGAACTATATCCCTGGCTTCAGACACACTTAGATCTAGTAATTCCTTTTTTTAAGATATGGTCATGCTGTGTCCTTCAGCCTAAGTGCTGAGATTACAGGCATGTGCCATCATGTCTAGCCTGGTCTAGTAATTCCAGTTGCCCTTTTAGGAGTTTCAACAGTTGTGTACCTCCTTGTGTTAAACAACCTGTGTGTAATTTTTATTTTTCTTGTGGTATAGGGATTAAATGGAGTTCACTGCACTGAGCTATATCCTAAGCTCCTTTTTAAATTAATTACTATTGTTCTTATTTTGTGGTACTGCGTGTTGAACCCAGGCCTTCACAGTGAATTGTATTACAAGTTCTTAAAAATTTTAAAAATTGTGTGACAAGTTTTTTGCTAAGTCCCTAAATTGCCCAAGGCTTGGTTCAGACTTGTCCTCCTGTCTCAGCCTCCAACAGTGCTGAGATTACAGACATGTGCCACATGTTTGCCATGCAGTGTTTTCCAGTGCACCAAAGTGAACCGCAAAGTATTATATGTCAGCAGGACCGTGGATGGACAATGTCTGTTCAGTGATAGGTATAGAAGGCTGTGTAAAGACCTAGGGTGCTCCCTGCTGTTCTCTGAAGAAAAGACAAGTGAGGCATGAAAAATGCCAGGCGGGGGCAAGGTGGTTAATAGGCAGCTTTTTACCATGAGTGGATTTTTTTTTTTTTTTTTTGTATTGATTATTGAAGTCAAGGCCTTTGCACTGAGTTACAGCCACAGCCCTTTCCTGGTTCCTTTTCAATTGTTTTGTTTTTAAATTTTGAGCTTGGTGTGGTGGTGCAGCTTTTTTTTTTTTTTCGGAACCGGGGATTGATTTAGGCCCTTGTGCTTGCCAGGGAAGCGCTTATTCCACTGAGCCATCTCCCCGGCCCTGGTGCAGCATTTTGGAGGCTGAAGCTGCAGAGTTTAAGGTTACACAACCAAAAAAAAAAAAAAAAAGAAAAGAAAAGAAATGAGTATGTGTCTCAACAGTTATGCAGTATGTAACTGCTTAACTATAGGAATAGTTTGAAGAAATGTACTCATAAGTGATTTTGTTGTGTGGACATCACAGTGATGGCTATGATGTCAATAGCCAATCTTCCTGTGTATGTGCCAAGGATGGATGATCACATGTGGTAAGGATGTGCTCTACTACTGAGCCATACCTCTAACCCCCATAGTCAACATAATCATTTTTAGGAGATCTGGGCAGGATCCTGGTTTGTCCTTGCCAGGGCCCTCTGCTACGTCAAAACTCCTTCTGTTCTGTCCATCAACCTGTTCTTCATGTCACAACTGTACCTTCCCTATCCTGATACCTGACCAGAAGAACCTAGGATGCCAGGACTGGGAGAGGATGCAGGTGTGGGAAACACAAACTTGACTCTCAGAAGGTTTATGGTGCTTGGGAGGAGTCATGGGGTCCAAGGCAGAGAGTGGTCTGGGAAAGAGGGAAGTTTGGGGACCTGGAGAAGGAAGCCTGTTTGGGCTAGGTGCAGGGTACATGAATGTGGGGGCCCAGACCCACCATAGCTTATGTCTCACTCACCTGGGGAGAAGAAGCCCCCAGCTTCCTCATGCCACAGGGTCCCAGAGTGCTCCCTCCATAAGGGCCCCTCAGGCCCAGTGTCACTGTGGGGAGAAGTCAGCTCCAATGCGGTCCTATATCCCTGAAACCACAGTGGTAATAGTTCATCTGTTGGGTGGGCATAGGGAAGGACCTACTGGCACCCACCATGGAGGCTTGGGGCAAGGAATGGGTCACATCCTGTGTGGGGCTCACCTGGGCCTCCTCAGGTAGGAGAGAAGGTGCAAGTAAGGGCCCAGACTCCAGCAACTCTAGGGAGAAAAAGTGAAGTCAGATAGCCTCAGGACATTCCCACCCTACCACTCTTTTCAGGTGCCAACATCCAGGTGCCAAACTAGGCAAGAGGGAAACCTAGGTGAGATCTGAGGGCAGGAGAGGGCAATGTGGGGTAGGTGAGAGCCTGGACTGGGCATGGGGCACAGGAGAGGATGCTAGAGATCCAGGGATCAGGCTACTGAGGGCAGGGGTGGGCCTATGTTGAGCCCCTGCAGCCCAGTACATCCAGGAGGGCCATGTGTGTGTGTTTACCCAAGAATGGCTGCTTGGGGAAGGGGCTGAAGGCAGATGGCACACCCAGAACTACAGAGTCCTGCCACAGCAGCACCCACCTATACACCAGCCTACTTCATAGCTGCCAGTGATGTCCTTCACTGATCTGACACAAATAAATCCTGGAGTCTGCTCCATACTGGGGGAGAGCGGTAGAAATGGGGCTATAGCTTCTAAGGGACAGAGATAATTGGACTGAAGGGAAACCTGCTTGTCTAGGAGGTGAGGGCCAAGGGCACATGGAAACCATTTCATCCAGTAGGCCCAGCCCACGTTGCCTGGCCTCACCTGGCTCCTCTGTAACCTCTGGTTCCTCTTTCACCTGAAAGCCCAGCTGCAGTTCCTGAACAGCCCCAGGAGGTGTCTCAGGTCCAGGGTCTGGAGTTTGAGGCTTGGCTTGAGGTGAAGGCTGGAAGCTGGAAGACTCCATCTTCTCTGACAGGACCTCCTGGCCCTGCACTTGGACTGTGACCTGGGGAGATGTCCCCACCAAGCAGAGAGTGGGACTGGGCACAACCATGGTGGGGTGCATGGGTACCACTCCACTTTAGGACCCAAGTCTACTTGGTCAATACTGATTGAAAAGGTCCTTCAAGATTCTACCTCTCAGCTAGGCGTGGTGAGGCATGCCTATAAATCAGCACTCGGAAGGCTGAGGCAGGAGGATCGTTGCAAGTTTGAGACCAGCCTTGGCTATAAAACCAGGCTAGCCTGAACTACACTGCAAGATGCTGTCTCAAAAAGACAAAAAAAAAAAAAAAAAAAAAAATTCCTACTCTGGTAGGCCTAGAGCATGGAACAAAAGGACGACCTGCAGGTGCCCTCTGTTACTGACATCTAGAGCTGCATAGTTCCCTCCCTTTCTTCCCTCACCTTGCAGTCTGTATATACAGAGGCTTTCAGCTAATGCAGGAAAGGGCTGTGGAGAACCCTCCTCCCCTTGAGTCTTACACAAGGTGGCCACTTCTGTACTGTGGCGTGTATGTGTCTGTGTGCACACATACCCCAGTGTAAGACAGTGCTCCAGCCCTGACCTTCCATGCAGCCCACTGACTTACCCATCTCCGAGGCCTGCCTAGCTCCCATCGGAACCTGTCGACCAAGGCAGCAGCCTCTTCAGGGCTACTTGGCTGCTGTTCTTGCACGTAGACCTGGATCTCAGGGGGTAGCACACCCAGGAACTGCTCCAGCACCAGAAGTTCCATCATCTGCTCTTTGGAGTGCAACTCCGGCTGCAGCCACTGGTGACACAGCTCTCGAAGCTGTGCCAGGGTCTCTTGAGGACCCACTGCCTCCTCATAGCAGAATCCCCGGAAGCGCAGACGTGCAGCCTCCGGTCTCAGGTCCCATAAGGTAGCCACCTCCTCTTCCTCAGAGTCCTCCAGCTTCACCATGACAGGTTCATCATCTTCTGGGGGACCTAGCATGGTGGGCCTCATCTGGATCACCAGGCCAGGTCTGCAAGGTCAGTGTCTATACCTAGTGAAGGAAAAGAATGAAGGTGCTGCAGTAAGAACAGACTGACAGTGAATGCATGTTGAGAATGTACTGTGTGCTGTATTGTTCAATCCTCAGAAGTGCCCCCACATGGAAGGCAGAAGAAGAAAAAGACACACAGATCTCACCCCAGGGACTTTTCCTGGCCTTTCCTCCAGCTTGGCCTGTGCAGAACCTCTGCTAGCCTCCTACTCAGAACAGCCTGCTAAAAGCCAGGTCTGGTGTCCACACTTCTGTGATCCCAGCACTCAGGAGGCTGAGGCAGAAAGATCATAGCGAGACCCTGTCTCAAAAAAACAATAAAAAACAACTTGAACCCAACTGAACTGAACTGAACCAAATCAGTAACAAAACCAGGCTGCTTCTCAGGCCTAGATAACACCTCTCTGCGTTATATGCTGCTCTTCAACATTAGCAACCTCATCTCTGCCCTCAGCTCTCCTTTTACTTGGTGGATGGCACCTGTGTCACCTACAATCTGGTATCAGTGCCACTGCTGTCTCCTGGTCTCTGCACCAGCCACTCACTATAGTGTCAATGCTTCCACTCGGTTTCTCTCAGACTTGACCCCTCATTCAGGTCCCACTGTCATTCACTCCTAGCTTGGCTCCAGGGCCATCTTGCCATCTGGTCCCCCATCCCAACCTGTGTGTGGCCCTACCCTACCAAGTGCTTCCACCCAAGCCCAACTCTTCATGCTACAAAACGCTCCTTAGGTCCCTGACTGACGTGGGGGTGGGAGGTCAAGGCCTGAGAACACTGGGCCAGGATCCTTCAAGGGCAGTTCAATATTCTGATCCCGCCCATTTCAGGCCCTGTGCCTCTGAACTGCAGTTGGGGCCTTCGTGCCAATGATGCTATTAACAGGATAGCATAGCAGTCATCCACCTTCAGGTATCATCGATTTCGAGGGCCGCCTGATATCAAGAGTAAAATCTCGGGGCTGGGGAGATAGCTCAGTAGAATAAGCATCTGCCTG